AGTTTCATGAAATCTGACTAATCCTAATCAGTAGTAGGGCAGAGGAGATAAATGATAGAAACCCGATTTGAACTAGCTTATGCAAAAAAAAAAAAAAAAAAGAAATTATAGGAAGGAAAGGTAGAGTATTTCACAGATAACTAAGCTTATTCAAGCTTATGTCTGCCCCTTAAGAACCATCCAAACCAAAGTTACCAGCTGGGACTCTCTGTCATCTATGCTTTTCTTTGAAATTTGCTTTATTCTTTTTTCTCACTAAACAATGTGGCAGAAAACATGGCCAAAGACAACATAGAGTTCTAAATCTCAGAATTTCAGCTGCTTGAGAGACACTGGCTTGACTTCCTAAGTTCCAAATTCAAAAATCCTGGGAGGCCAGCCCGTGGCTCACTCGGTAGAGTGTGGTGCTGATAACACCAAGGCCACGGGTTCGGATCCTATATAGGGATGGCCGGTTTGCTCACTGGCTGAGCGTGGTGCTGACAGCACCAAGCCAAGGGTTGAGATCCCCTTACTGGTCATCTTTAAAAAAAAAAAAAAAAATCCTGGGAAAGGACTCATTGGGCCAGGTGTCCATTTCTGAACCAGCTAAACTGTGGCTGGGTCATGAGGTGGCATAAGAACATGCCACTCCATCAAGAACTGAATGTGGCAAGATTCATAGAAAATATTGGGCTGACAGTTGCATAAATAACCACTACAGGGTAAAGCACTGTGGACAAAGTTCCCTCAGAAGACCAGCAGTTAGTCTTGAACCAAACGAAGGCAACCCTGAAACACTGAATTTTTTATTCTTCATTATCGTAGGACTTACCTAACACTTTGTTTTTAGCTATGAGAACATTTCATGATACTTCAGAAACCCAAGGAAACAATTAACCAGGCCATACCATAGACTTTCATAAAGGAAAGTCAAAAGAAAAAGTCTCCACTCTATAAAATAGTGTTCTCAATAGCAAAGCCACCAGCCACTGTATGTGGTGCCATGGTGCCTTACAGAAGGGCACCCTTGAATGTGAGCTGGATTTTTAACCACTGTTCACCCCTTCAGTCAGTTGCCACTGCAAACTACGCAACTATATATGGTCCTAATAAGTGTTAATTTACCTGTTTGAAATAAGTGGCTCTGGGAATTGTTAAATGACCAAACAAAAAAAAGTATCAAGAACTGTGAAAGGTCTGAGATGTTACCCTATGACAATTACATGGTTTCTGGTAGAAGACACAAGACTCCGTGTTAGAGACAAAGGGCAGTTTATTACTCAGCAATTGCAGTAGCCAGAGTAACCTTATTTGCACCACTTCTCCAAGCCCGAATTCCCACATGCTGAAGGCCAGGTGATGGCTACACATGAAGTGTGTTGCTTTACAGGAGATACACCCGAGTGTAGAAGATTCTAGACTTTTATAAGGGGTTGTTAGCATATCTGTTCCACCTTTGCCCCAGAAGGAGACATTGTCTTTGTACTTCTGAACAGTGAACAAACTCTATCCCCTGACCCAGAGGGAGGCAAAGACTGTTTGCTATACAAACACCCATGAACAGAGTGTCAGGAGCAAAGCTGAGATACATGAGACCTGTAAACAATGGTTTCCCAACAACAAGGGAAAGGAAGAGGAGGGCTAGGAAGTAATGTTTGTTCCCCTAGATGGGAGGTCAGCAAACTTTGTAAAGGTTCCAGATAGTAAATATTTTAGGCATTTTAACTATTCAGCTCTGCAACTGCAGAACAAAAAAGCAGCCATAGACAATGTTTCAATGAATGAGTATGGCTGTATTCCAGTGAAACTTTATAAAAACAGGCAGCAGGCTATATCTGGCTTTTGGGCTGTAGTTGACCCTGCTCTAGATGATCTGTTGTGTTTAGACTTGTTAAATATATATGCCTTTTTTCTTAAACTCTCATTTCACAGCCCATATCTAGGCCATTCTATAATCTTTTATCTTTGTTTATATCTAATAAAATTATTGATATCTATAAAATGTGAAGTCAAAAACTATTCACAAGGTGTAGAATCTTGGAATATAAGCAGCAGCAGATCTTATATGTATTTCTGGAATATAAGTATCTAATTGCTGTACAAAATATTGAACTAAAGTCTTGCTCTTCTGTCAGGATTAAATGTAGTATATTTAGGAATTGCTGATGGACTTATGGAACCCACTGGCTTTATTGAACAAAATGTCACCTATGTAGTTCATCTAGATATTGGAGAAGGTTGGCTTTAGAATGACTTGTATGAATTTAGGAAACAAAGGTGAAAAAGCAATCAAACATTTTCAGTTAGTCTCTTTCTGTAGTTAAACAAGTCCATATTATTATCACAGAGTACCATTTATGATCCTATTTATTGTAGAAGAGTACATAGACCTCTGTATTATCACAGATAACCTTTGTGGATTGTCACGGGGGGCATCTTTAAGATGTTGAATTCATTAGAGAATGCTTCTTACTTTGAGCTTGGTTGAGTGTGGAAAGAATGGAGAGAATTATACTGTTAATCTTCCTTTATACATCCTCTAACATCTTTTTTTAACAATTATAATAAAGCTCTGGAATTTTAAGATAAGGTAGAAAAAAAAAAAAACCCACAAATGTTTGGACCGTGTGTCCCAGTATTAGAGTAAGAGAGAGAATCAGTAAATCAACCAAGACGTGTTGATGGCTCTTAAATGACTAACAGTGTACCTTCTAAGCACCTGCTAAGCACTTCTAATATCTATATGATATTTAGAATGCTAATTCCTGGCCGCTTGTGAACCAAACCCCTGCTTCTGTTCTGCTTTTCTTTCTTTTTGCTTTTTTTTTTTTTATAAAATGACCGGTAAGGGGATCTTAACCCTTAACGTGGTGTTGTCAGCACGACGTTCTCCAAAGTGAGCTAACCGGCCGTCCCTATATAGGGATCTGAACCTGTGGCCTTGGTGTTATTGGCACCACACTGTCCCAAGTGAGCCATGGGCCAGCCCTCTGTTCTGCTTTTCTCATACTACTCAACACTTGCCTCCCTCCAGCTTTCAAATAGTTTCCCCTTTTACATTATAGTTTCTGCTTTCTTTCCCCATATTATATGTAGTCCAGCCTTTTATGAGTTTCGACAGAGGTGAAACTGGCTACGTCAACATTTATTTAATGATATAATGGCAACTGTGTAGAAAATAAGTAAGATCTGGTGACTGTCTCCAGTGTACTTATCTAATTAAGGAAATAAACATGTGATACTAAAAAACATCATTAGCCAGTTAAGGGCTTGTGTTTAAGATTGATTGTCAGAGCCTCAGTGGCATGGGAATTTATGGGGGAAAAATGTTTGCTGAATATAGATCTGAAAAGATAAAATCTATGTATATGTAATTGTACACACACACACACACACACACACACGTTTGGTGTCTGTTTGTTTAGATGCCCACTATATCGTTGAGTGAATGTTCACTGCTAAGGATTGCTGCTGTCTTGGGTTATGCTGCTCAACACCTGAGAGTTCATAATGATAATAGAAATTAGAGGGAGCATTGCAATAGAAGAGTTTTGAAAATAATTTTTATTCAAGAAAAAGAACCTAAGCTTAGAAGTGAAAGTGCTTTGAAAACTTAAAATGCTAGATTTTTATCATCATCAGAAGCCTAAAGCAGAATGTAGACCAGTTGCCCCATTACTTTATATAGCCAAACTTTAAAATTTAGTCAATTATTATGTTTTGTAAATAAACTCTCCTGTAAATTTTTACAATGATTATTTTAAATTGTCCACACTTATAAGTTGAACTTTTGGAGAAAGAATACTGTGTTTGAATGATACTTAGAAAGCACTATTTATCATTTTGTACATATGATACTTAACTCCAGATTTTTGTTGAATTATTAATATTATTACTAAGTTTTTAATGTCATCAGGTATTAGTGGCCAGTGAACATTTGTACTGTCACAATTATAATAGTTTGAGAGAGCACACTTATTAGGAAAAAATCTTCATTAGGCCTGTTTAATTACAAATTGATTTTTTTTTTTTTTAAAGCTTGCCTATGTCAGGTCAAACCTAATATGCAATACTTATACTTTGAATGCAAAGATGGCTATCATAGACAATGTTTCTTTAATACGCTGTTTATGATTCCAATCAAAATGAGATTGAGGAAAGACTTTAACTAAAAGAGTCTAATGTTCAGTGGAAGGATAAACAGATGATTAGCCAAGAAAATATTAGGGCGGAAATGAGGAAAGATTTGTTTTGCCAAATAATTGAATTCATACTGTAGGGCTATAAGAAATAAAACAATGTGTTACTAGTTTAACAGATCAATCCACACCCTATAAATGTCTTTTAGTACATAAATAATTAGAATGTTTGCATTTACAAATCATTGGGGAAAGGTTATTCATTAGGTCATGTAGGGACGATTGGTTAAACATTTGTGGAAAAATAATTAAATGTAGAGTCAATATAACTATATCAATACCATGTTAATTAAAAAATTGAAACCATGAAAGAAGAAAATGTAAGTGAAAAGTTACCTGATCTCAAAGTAGGAAGATCTTTTTAGTCATAAAGCAAAGGAAAAAGCCACCTTAAACTGGAGGTCATGGCCTTCAGTTTATGGTGAAAGAAATTCAAGGTGAAAAATGTTCAGAGAGTCAAGATTGGAAATGAAGATGATATTCATTATTGGTAGATGATACTGTCATTCAGTTGAAGCATCCAAGAAAATCAGCTGATAAACTGTTAAAACTAACAAGAAAGTTAGCGAGGTGGCCAAATATAAAGTATCTAGGAAGGAAACTAACAAAAAAGTTTATCATCGCTAAAAAAAATTGAGTATATTCATATAACTGAGATTATTTTTCTCTTCTTACTAGGCTTACGTTGTCAAAATATTTTAATATGTGCCTTCAGAATACAGAAAAATTTCAGTACTGTTTTGTAGGCATTGTTGTATTATTTCTGACTTAACTATGTTCACTAATTTGTCTTTTTTTTCTTGTTCCCTTGTGCAATAGGTCAGTACTCCTGTCTTTGTACCAATGAAAACACATGTGCTGCTTCATCGAATGAGTGGAAAAGGACTAGCTGCCCATTATTTCTTTCCAAGACAGCCCTGCATTTTTGGTGATAAGATGGTCTCTGTACAAATAACGTTGAATAATACCACTGATCAAAAGATAGCAAATATCCACATAGGGGAAAAAAAACTTCCTATAGGCATGCAAATACATGTTTTTAATCCAATAGGTAAATATTAATTCTCATTTAAAACTAGAATTATATTTGATAACTAAATGTGTTCATTTAAAAAGTAGAATCCTTTTTAGTAAAAACGTAAAATAGAATTTTATTTTATTGACTGTTATCATACTCAGTTTACATTTATTTTCCCTTTTTAAACTGAATTTATCATACAAGATAAATACATTTCTTTACCCTTAGTGAGTCAGGTCCCAGCAATAGTAATACCAGTAGTGATGAAACAATGGGTCTGCAGAATCAAAGTTGCATCCCATTTTACCTGTGTGCACCACCTTCCTTCACCTCTCCTCCTGGTCATTCTCATTCTCTGCATGAGTTTAGGTGGTTTATTGTATATTAAAAATAAGAAAATCAGTCTGCCCTTTTGAATACAATACCTCCCATATCATGAGATCCTTTCCTGTTTCCTTTCACATTCCATGAATTGAAAAGTAAAGGGAACAACGACTGAGAGATGTACACTATTTTGCTTGTCTTTCTCTCCAAGTGTAGAATATGTTACTGGTATTTAGCCACATTATGTTTTTAAATATTTTTTAATCTGTTACCACCATTTAAAAATCAAGATGTGTTTACTTTAAAAAAAAAAAAAAAAGACAACAAAACACACTGCACACACACGGAATCTCACTTTTCTTAGAAAAAAACTCTAAGATTTGGCAGTGCTGGTTCTTTATTCCCACGTGCAGCAGCCAGTTGGTGCCAAGCAGTGTCTGCCCCTTCCATGCAGCCTGAGCTTTCCAGTTGCCTCTGTGCCCTATGCCTCATTTTATTGTCTTCCCAACTCAGTGTCAGAGACCGTTTATCATCCCTCTTGTGTTGTTTAAGTATTTTGCCAAAAATGTACCCTTTAAAAAATAAATAATCATTTTATGTCTTACTTTGAATCTGAAATAGTAGAGTATTTGGAATGTCTATCTCTATTCTTTCTGTGGTTTGTAAGCTCTCTGCACTTTATGTTAACAATTTAGTTCAGCTAAGATTTCACTAGTTACTGTATGATTGTCACATCAGAGTGATTTCATTTTTCATTACTAACAGTGTGATGTAATAGAGCCAGTCCTAAGGTTTAGTAAGGGGAAGCTTGAGGCCAAACCTTAATTAAAAGTGATAAAAGGGTTTGTGTCATTGTTTGCTTAAAATGTTACAATCAGAAAGCTCCAGATAGTTTCTTTTTATACTTTAGGTGAGCAAAGCCTTGTGACCAAGATGGACTCAAGTTTGATAATTGTACCTTCTTTACTCATTATTTCACATAACTATTCTCTTTTTCTTCATCTTCATCTGAGCTCTTTGGCATTACTGAATTCTCTCCTATAGTTTTCATGAGTCATTTAATAAAGAAAGCCATTCTTTGTGTTATGCTTTTACACAAAGGAGTAAAACAATTCCTAATGGTTAAAATCTGGTAGACTTTTATAAGCAACGAAAGTACAGAAAAGTGGAGTTAAAGTGATTTCAGAATCTACTTAATACCATTTTTTAAATATTTTGATAATTAAGACAAATTTAAAGAACACAAAGTGTTCTGATTTGTATTTAATTATTTTGTAAAGTTAGTAGATTGCCAAGGAATTATAGAATGTCCCAGTTTGTGTTCTTTTTTATTGCTTATAATTTAGCCTTTTTAAATTTAGTTAAAAAATTAGTCTAAGAAGTGTCAAGCAGTTAATATATGAATTGTCTGAAGGTTGAAAATGTTATCCAAAGGTTAAAACAGTAGAACAGTATTAATGTTTCTTTGAGCTGGCATAATGAGTTGATGAGCTGACCTTTTGTTGGCCTATGTAGAATAGAAGAAATAAATATAATACATTTCACAGTATGACCTTAACACAGAAATAAATATGAACGTATATTATTGCCTCGGTACTAGTTACAGGCTTTTCTTTTCCATTCTTAGGCAAATTTTTATGACTGTAATGTTTTATTTTGTTGGCATTTATTGAATGCCGTTAGGATATAGAGTTCTTTCCCATGCAGTATGTATTTATATGTAACACCACCTAGACTTTTACCAATAGATTACAGAAGAGTTACAGAATATGATGTATCTAAATTGGTCCTCCAAAAATCTTGAGTATCATAACACCAAAAAAATAGTGTATTTTCATGTTTTGTGATATAGGGAGGTAAGAAATTTGTCTTATTTATTAAGAATGTGTGCACATATTAAGGAGTCAAGGAGTCTAGTAGTTTTCTTATTTGTCACCAGTCTGTTTTCTTTTTGTTTATAATATGCAGTGGATATTTTGTCTGGATTCTGCCTTTAGCATGAAACTGGATTCCTTGCAAGAATATTGAAAATATTGTGTCATTTTTCCCAGAGACCAAGTATATAGGAGATTTTAAAGGCACAAAGAATAGCCTTAAGCTCTCTGCACTGTATTCAGTGACTTTATGTTAACAATTTAGTTCAGCTAAGATTTCACTAGTTACTGTATGATTGTCACATCAGAGTGATTTCATTTTTCATTACTAACAGTGTGATGTAATAGAGCCAGTGTTTTTCTGCTATATCTACATAGTTATCTCAGATGCATAGCAGTGAGTCCAAATATAGATACCTAATTGGGTAAGCTTTCCCAATTTAGTAGGCTCCAAATATTATAAAAATCCATTATATGAATAATTTTATGCTGATCATTTTGCTCTTGAAGCATCCGTGTAATAAAACATGCCATTGATCATGAATTGTCCTCCAAAATTAGCATGGCACTGAGCTCACAGTTAATTATCTTGAGACTGAAGATAATATCAAACAGTGTCAAGGAGTGCTATCAACAAGGCATCTTGAGAGCTGTCATTTTGTCAAGTGAAAGAAATACAAGAATACATGATGTGGAGAGATCTAAATTGTGAATGCCATCATATTTTGGAGATGATGGGGTTTGCTACCAATGTGTTGTTGGATACAAACAAGACCAAACCCCAGTAGGGCACAGAAGAAAGCATCAAGGGTTCACTATAGTTTTGAGCAGTGTGATTGACAGAGCTGTGAACTGATGACAGCATGTAGCTTTAGGAGAAATACAAAACGAATATATTCATACCATTGGGCAAACCAAAAACATTTTGAAATCAGCATCAAACAAGTGCCCTTTTAGAATGCCTAATCTTCATTGAGCCTATGAGACATAAACATAATTCTTAGTATATTAAGCTTATTAAATTATTCTTCTGTCCCATCTGTACCATCATCTCTGTCATGGTTAATATTAAATGGCAAATCATTCTTCTCCGACAAGCCCCAGAATAGTCACAGTGTAGTGAATTAGAAGTGTGCTTGCTAAAATGTAACTACATCTGACGAGATGTATATAGAATAGATAAAGCTAATATAAAACTCGTATGGTATAACTGCAGTTATACTGAAGACTTTGAGCAAAGTGGAAATCAAAAGTGGATGGTTTCTATTAAAATATAATACAATATAATATGTTATATTATAATATAATATGTTATAATATAATATAACATTATATTATAATATAACAAAAAATATATATAATATATAAAATATGTTAATCATATAATAATATATTAAATTATATTATATATTATATTACATTATATTACATATAGATATTTAAAATCCTTCTGATTATTCTAAGGTATATTCAAACTTTGGAGTCATAAACTGAATGAGATTTTGTAGTTGTTGGTCTTAAGTTTTATCACTGTCAACTGAAAAAAAAACCCAGTGTTGTATGTTGGTATAGTTGTTTCCCATACTTGGTTTGTTGATAGATGAAGCTTCAGACATTCCATATCTACAAAATGTCATTTATTATTTGTTTTATCAAGATAATCTAATCTTCCACTAAATTTTCTTTTAGAATTCTTTGAGTAATGCAATTAAATTTATCATTTTGGTTTCAGTGATGCTAGTTCCCCTGGTTAATTTCTGCATACCTCTTAATTTCTTCTTTCAACTTTGCTTTAATTTGCATTTTTAAATTTGCATTTTTTTTCCATTAAAAATTCGGAACATTGTTTAAAAATTTTTTTATGTCTGGAATAAATATTCCATAGTTTTAAATATATGATCTATAATAATCTCCCTAAGTCCATTACAGGTGTTTCAAACTGGAACACATTTATTTCCTTCTTACTTTCAATGCCTCTAGAAACAATATTGTAGAACATGAAATTTCTTAGGAAAAGATGTGTTTCTGAAACAAATACATATAATATGTTCATTGGAGTTTATGCAGAATTAAGTTGTGAAAAAAGAAAACCTGCAAGCAGAATAGTGAGGTTACTTTATAATTTGCTTTAGTATTCTTAGTTTGAAATTTTTCTTATAAACTGTTATTAAATTTGACTATTTAACCAAACTACAAATATTACATAAATTTCAGTGTTTAGCTTGCTTTTTCACATCCTTCATGTTTTCATGTCTAAATTATCTTATTTCCTAGAGTCTCTTGAGCCTGAGGGATCCATTACTGTTTCAATGGGTATTGACTTTTGTGATTCTACTCAGACTGCCAGTTTCCAGTTGTGGTAAGTTCAGTTGTTCTTCTGTTTCTTATATTTCCTGTAAAAGATAGCAGATCAAAAATTAGGCTTTCAACAGCTTTTTTCTGAGAGAGACAAAACACTTAAATGTGTTTTTCTTTGACAATGTTTAGACTGCCATGGAATAGTTGTACAAATTGTGTACAATATGTGTATTTTTAGTATTTGTTACATACCTTACCATTACAGTCTACCATATGTTATTGAAATTCATAGTTTGTTGATTAAAGAAGGAAGCTACATCTAAGTAATTTTTAACAATGCTACAATTTTGGAAAATTCATGAGAAAATTTATGAGGAAAAATTAAAAACTTTAATAATGTTATTGAATATCCTAGAGAAACTATCTTTTGACATATCATAGATGTTATCTTGAGATTCTCAAGTGAAGTGTTATTGATTCTGTCAGTACCTAAAACTCGTGCATTTTTTTCCTTTTTATTACAAACTGCTTTTGATAAAAATCAAAAGAGAACATTTATGCAGTTGGCGAAGGTTTCATAGCTGAATGTAATTCAAAGGAGCTTTTTTAGTAGTACACTTGGTTGTTATTATTTTTATATAATGTTTTATACATTTCTGATGAAATCCAGAGGCTATTAGCAAATTAGTACAAAGCTATATTCGTGCATCTTTGAGAATTATCTTTGGACTCTCATATTTTTCTGATATAAGGTACATTTTATTATTTTGAGTTGAAGTTGGGTTTTTTATTCTAAAAAAAATGGAGACATTTTATTTATCTAAACTTTAGCCAGCTTAGAACAGAATTTGTTATGATTAAAATCTCTAAGTTTAGGGAATAGACATTTTTAAATAAATTTAAAGATTAAATATAGTGAAACTTTCATTTTGATATGCCGTTTAAGTTTATCAGTAATTCAGGCCTAATGTTATACCTTTTATTGCTGAGAACCTGCAATGATGAATATAAGCAATGTAGCATAACGCATTGATTTTATGCAGATCATCACCTTTATGTTTTGGGAGGTCTGCTATATTAGTGATATATAAAAACTGATTACTTTTCCCAACATTGCCTAGTAATTGTTTATTATTTTTCTATTAGACAAACAACACAGATCAATATTACTGAACACCAGACTATGAGTAACATCACTCTAAATAGATTTGCCTCCAACACCAGAGGTATATTCATTTTAATGATTTGGACAATGTGAGCTCAATGACAAAGCTTTTGTACCAAGTTGGACCAAAATTAAGAAATAAAAAAAAAATCCTTTTTCTTATTAATTCTTATAAAGAACCTTTTGATTTCTATGTAATCAGGCAGGTCTTTTTTTTTTCCCCCCTAGTGTTTTTATTATTAAGACTTCCTTTGTAGTCTATTGGACAGGATTTGCATTTAGTCTTTCACAATTAACTAAATCCCTTTAGGGAGTAATATGTAGGTAGTGTTTGATTTTTCTTATGTCAGGGAGTATATTGCATAATTTTTTTCTCAATTTCTCTTAAACTATTTTAGGAAAATGAGAAATTTGTTCTACATGGAAAACAGCCTTAGCATTATAAGCATTTACATTAATATGTTTTTCTTTTTTGAATATATAAATTATTTATTTATTTTAGATTTTATTAAGCACAAAAGCATGCTAGATCAAAAATTATTTTTTGTGTTCCAAAAAGAGCATTTTGTCTTGCATCAAATGTAATTGATCCTGAAGCAGTGTAATCACAATTACTCACTTTCTTAATTGGCCTGCCCAAAATCAGAAAATGGAAACCGATCGACAGTGTTTAAATCAATAGCTTCATAGTAGTGCTAGTGGGGGTAGGGAGATAATGGTAATGGGTAGATCAATTGGTCTTAGATGCCAGTCACCGACTGTGCCTTTTGCATAGTAAATAGCACTTTTTGCTTAGTGATGTGCTGTGTTAGTCTTGGTAGTTCAATAAAAAGAAAAAAAAAGGCAAGAAAGGATGATATTGAATTTTTTCCTTGAAATACATTATACAAATCAATACATAAAATTATGGGTAATAAGAGCATATTTGATAAGAAGCCTTCAGAAATGCTGAGAACATGGACTATAAGCTTTTCAGATACTTTTCTATTTATTAGAAGAAAGGGAACAAGAATAAAATGGTCCTAGTTTAGCCTCTATATTAATTCTATATCATTATAGTTATACCTGTGTATATAGATAGCTATAGATAAATAGAACTATTATGTATAGCTATATAGTTATGTGGATAGTTGATAAGCATTGATGTCTCCTTTTTTCCTTTTTGCTTTGGATTTTAAATGGTCATCACATTAAGTTTCTGATTAAATTTGTTGAGATTGAAAATGTGTATAATATGCATAAATATATCTCTCTGAAAGCTGATGCAGTGTATAAACAGATCCTCATCCTTGTGATCAGCAGGTATGAATGTATTAACCAGTATGAAAAATAATATGGCTTGGCTCAAGTTGGAGGACTGAGAGCTTCCATTCCACCTTTCTTTTCATTTAAAAATCCATCAAAAAGATAGAAAATACATTCTTTAAGAGAGAATGAGAACTAAAAAATAACAAGGAAGAATGTCGTGGCTGAGCAGAAATTGTGAAAAATTATTGACAGTTGGAAAGCAACTGGGGACAGACAAACAATAACAAAAAAGAATCACAGGGCAGAACACTCATGGAAGAAAACTACTATAATGGTAAGAACAAATCTGGCAGAATATCAAGCACAAACTGAATAAGTAGAAAGAAAAGTTAGGAGCCTTAAGACAGTCCTCAGGGAATTAAAGAACTACTCCCTCCAACCCATTACCCCAAGCAACAGGCAACATACACATTTAATTTGAGGCATAAGCATAGCTTTGTAAAGCAAATGAATCACTTGCCTGGGAAAGACTTTTGGTGTGGATGTGGGGACCTAAAAGAGCACAGCAGGGTTTGAGTTTGTGCAAAAAGGCAGGGATGGTCAGAGATGAGACAGTCTTAGTCTGTTTGGTGAGGAGGAAAGGCTATTGCCCACCTGCCTCCCAACTTCATGTCCATGTAACCAGTCGGTATCTCACCCACTTAAGAAAAAAACCACTCAGCCTGTCCAGGGGAGAGGAGACCCATAGTAATGATAGTAATAACATTAATCACATACTTACAGTATGCTAGGCACTGTTCTAAACACTTATATGTACCAATTCATTTAGTTCTCACAACAATCCAATAAATATGATTATTACCCATCTTACAGGTGAGTAAATGAGGCACAAGAAGATTAAGAAATTTATCTAAAATCTCATACATAATAGGTAGCAGAACTTGCTATATGTGTTAGTTAAGCCTAGTCCTTCATTATGAATATAAATGGACAGCTTAGGATGACCATATTTTTGAAGGGAAGCAGTAACTTGAAAAAGAAGGTTTAAGACGAACATGAAGGCCCACTGACCATGAAGGGAGCAGACAATTTTAAAAAGAGAAAAGTTGGGCCGGCCCGGTGGCGCACTGTAGAGTGCGCCGCTTGGGAGTGCGGCGGCGCTCCCGCTGAGGGTTCGGATCCCATGTGGAAACCGGTTCCCGCTCACTGACTGAGCGCAGTGCGGGCGCAACACTGAGGGTTGCGATCCAGTTACCGGTCAGTAAAAAAGACAAAAAGGAAAAGAAAATAAATAAAAATAAAAAGAGAAAAGTTATCTTTAAAATTTATAGCTAATATCTGATTCAAGAGAACACCACATCCATAAAGCAAGAACATATTGCTTGATATGAAAAAGGAGCAATTAGAAAATTGTAAAAGTATTCTTGGAGATTTAAAATATAATGCCAAAAGAAATTCCGTAGAGGCATAATAGAATGGACACAGTTGAATACTGACTTAGTGTTCTGGAAGAGAGGATCAAGAAAATCAACTGAAATAGAAAACAAAAAGACAAAGAAGGGAAAATAGGAAAGAAAGGTTAAAAGAATGAATTCATCTAAGAGGGTGTCTGGAAGGAAAAAATAGACAATGGAGAGAAGAAATAATTAAAGAAATAAATTGTAGAAGAACATTTTCGCAAGCAAAAGAAATGCACAAGCCTTCAGATTGAAAGGGCCCATCTAAGACCAAACAGGATGAATGTGAAAGACTATCACAAAATAAAAAACCCTGGTAAAATTTTTGTTAAGGAGAAAATCACCCTTTTGTCTTCCAGAGTGGAGAAAATAGCAGTTTACCTAAGAAAGAACAAGAATGAGAATGGAATTATATTTTCATCAATATTCTCAATCATTCTGGAGGCCAGAAGTCAAAGGATATGACCTTTAAAATTTTCAGGATACCAAATAGACAAACAAATATTCTATCAGTTTACCTCCTGCAGACATTTTCTGAAAGTATTACTCAAATATATGCTGTAGTAGAAATTTTTTAAAAATCTGAGACAGAGAAAAACACATAATTTAAAAAAAGTAGTGGGCAAAGAATACCACCTTTAAAATCTATCAGTGTGTAAAAGTGATTGTTGACAATGTGAAAAATAAATATTAATAATAAACTGGAACCACAATCCCAACATGGATAAGTGTGAGATGGAATAACAATGTACTGGGGCTCTTGTATGTTTGACAAGAGAATTGATTGATGGATAAATATGCTTTAAAATATTAAAGATAACCACTAACATAATAGAAATATGATTACATGTATTATAACTTCCAAACAACTAAAGGGAGGAAGAAAAGAAAGAAAACTTCTGATCCGTTTAACCAAGGGAAGAGGAAAAAAGCATGGTAAATAGAAAACAAAATAAGATGGCTGGAAAGGGCCATACATATGTACATACTAATCACAGTTCATGTCAGAGAGTTAAATCCCACTTACATTAAACAGGTAGAAAACAAAATTCAACATGTGCTATTTATAAGAACCCTACCTAAAAGAGAATGGCTCAGAAAAGTTGAAAATAAAAAGGTAAAATATATGTGTGAGGGTGTTTCTGTTTATCAGATAGATGTGCTAAACTAGAAAAACATAAAGCATTTCAG